CCTACACGAGGACAAACTCTAAACGCCTTGTATCTTTCAGATCCAGCTGCTGTCAGATCTTTGCCATCCAGTTCTGGTGACCTGGCTGTGTCCTAGATGTGACAGTTGTCACATGGATTCACATCAGATAAAGCTACAGAGCCTCACAGTGATGCACAAATTCAGCATATGCTGAGAGAAGCGATGTCTGTGACACGGCAATTCATAATTTTAGGCGTGGTTTCAAGTGGGGAGAGAGGAAAAAAGGGGGGAAACCTAGTTAAGGATTGCTATATTTTTACTAAAATTAACATACTAATGTGCAGTGGTGAAAAATGACTGTGTAACAGCACAGCAAGGTTCCGTATTTACTTGTTGTCACTGATTTCAGAGCAAATTGGCTCAGGTTATAAGTCAAAGAAGGATTCTTCTGCTGCCAGCACTGCACACTTCAAGAGATATCTGAAAATCAGGCTTCTTACCTTATCATTGTTAAAAGACTGTGCAATCAAAATGTAACTGACAATTCAGCTGATGCATGAGCAGAAATAGATGCCAGCTCACTCTCCCATAGCTAGAGAAACTCTGTAAAGCTAACAGGATTTTAAAAACATTTTGTCAGAAAAATAAGTGGCTATGACAGACCCAGGGAGTGGGCTGAATAATAATTCAGCTATCTAATGCTGGGTATCACAGTGACAGGTGCATTTCAAGTGCTGCGCTACATAATACGGTTGCCCTCTCCAGCAGCCTCACTCCAAGGAATTCAACATGCTTTGCAAACGTCAATTAATTTAATGCTCACAACACCGAAGACAGGAATGCTGAGATGCTGGGTTAAGAAGGGTTAAAATAACTAGATCAGCACTGGGAACAGAATACATACCTGAAGATCTCTAGCCTTCACCCTTAGCCACAATCCCAGCTGTGCCATTTTTCTTAAATAGTTCTCCTAAACAAGCATGTTTTGGGCCTGATTCTAACAGTGGCCAGATACTCTGCAGGTCTTCTTGAGTTAGCTTAACTGCAGAGAGAAATTTTGCAGATAATTCTGAAAACCCCGCAGTTGTGCAGTCATTCACATTAGAACCTTGCGGTGCAGGTTTTATTCTAACAGAGATCATCCTTCCACCCTAGTAGTGTGCTTTGCCCATTTCCATGGCATAATTTCCAGGGAAATCATCACACATCTGAAATGGCTGCAAGTCTAAAACATGTTTACCCCACTGGAGGGCATGAGATGGGATGTTTAGCATGGCACACCTTATCACAAGCATCACAGATGAATAAACAACGCTTATGAAAGAACCACAGCTAGTGGGTTTAAGGAAAAGGCTTTCAAGTTGCAATGATTATAAATGACAGCAAGCAGAGGACTTCTGTACAAATAAGCGACGTCCAACACAGGAGAATCTTGATGAAATTGATGCCCCAGGAGTAGGATCTGGAGAGCATCAGTCACAAGCAGGAACGTAAGACCAAGTCACCAGACCAAAGTCCAAGTGAGTGGGAACACTGCCTTCCAGTGTGTGTAGCAGCCTACCACTTACTTGGGTAGCGGGCAAGTCCGATCTCTGCGCATGAAGAAGTATGGAAACTGTACAGACACTCTCCCAGATGCGAGCTGCCACCTTCCAAGGCAGAGGAGAAAGGAGATTAACTAGGGTGGAGATACAGGAGTTTTTCTGCCTGTGATTTTCCTGCCATCGGGGCAGACACTGGGGAGGGATGCTAGCTCATGGCTGTTAAGAGAAGCAGAATGCTATGTAGGAGAAGAAGGTGAATGTTTACTTTGTATTTCTACTTTGATTAGAGAGAATATTTGATAAAGAGCAGCTCCTCCGCTTCCCCCAGGGTGAGGCTGCTAAACTGAAGGCTAGGCTACAAGTGAGCATCACATCCACAACAGGAAAATGTTTCACCCTTCAAGAACTTGATTGCTTCTCATGCACACAAACATACTTGAAAATAGCCTGAAAGAGATTTCTTCCCTCCCACATGGAAGCAGCTGCAGAGAAATCTCGGCTTAATATTGACACCTCCAGCCTGGAGAGTACCCGATTTGCCTCCATTACATCTGTAGTTTGGAATACAAAGATGCATGATGTGACAGGAGGGGGAACGGGCAACAACGAAGAGGGCGAACAGTGCCCTGTTCTAATTCCTAAAAGTCTCTGAAGACAAGAGGGACAGAGGGCTGCAGCAACGGATTGCCTAATGCTTCTGTTCTTTACCAGCCACAGTTAAAAGGAGGAAAAGCCTATTAAGAGGCTGAAATGTACCATGTAGCTTCTTTTCTGCAATTGTCTGCAAATCCTTGTGCTCCAAAGCATTTTCCTTGAGAGTGCTCACAGGCACGCTACAAACACGCGTAAGTACTGCCAATTGTTTTAGCATGATAAATGCATTTAGAAGCTTTCAATATTTTTTGTCTGTTTACAGGCACACTCCTCGAGGAATTTTGACAAGCTTGTCCGAATGGAAAAGTTGCAAAATGCTTAACTTAGTGCTGAAGTTAATGCAAATTCTCAGGTAAGAAACCTGGGTATTCTTGGGGCGGTGAAAGAGGAAGGCAAAGAACAAACAAACCCAAATCACTGCTCCTGACAAAGTGCGACTGGGCAAGAGCAGTGGCTGGTCATACACAGCCCGTGCTAGTGCAAGGCACGCTTCCAAAACTGCTTCCTCCAGATACCCCAGCCATTGCTAACGCAGCTTCCATGCAACTTACAGTATTGCACAACAGATGTGAGTTAACGCTCCTGGTACTTCTGCAGGAACTAAAGAGACAAGTGCCTCATCTGTGGCAATAAAAGGACTTGATGGTGGCACCACAAGCGGAACACCGAGGTTTGTCCCCGTGCTGTGGCTGAACTAAAGGCCAGCCCTTCCTCTGCCACCTCTGTCAGGGCCATCTGCCCTTGCAGTCCAGAGGCCAAACAGGGCTGCTGTTCTTCAAGGTTTTGGCCATCCTAGAAGACACATGATGCTATTTCCACCTTCAAACCTTCACTTTCACACACATCTTGCAGCTCCCCAAAGCTAACAAGGCCTGCGTAGGAGGCCTCTCTACACAAAGCAGTAGATCTCCACATCTACTGTCTGAAAGATCACACCCATGTCATGTATCTGATGTAGAGGAGGACTGGGACACTTAAGAGAGTGCAAAACCAGGAATTTTCATGCTGTATTAGTCCAATCCCTTTGCCCTGAGGAAATAAAGCTCGCAGATAATTTGCCCACTGAAGAACTCTATTCCACCCTAATCTGGGCAAGGGACTCTGGGAGATAATCTCTGCAAAACAGAGTCCTGTGGAAAGAAGCCAAGAGACCTCTGTACAGCAAGTCTTCCCAAAGGAGGGGTAGGAAAGGGCTGCTAAAGCAGGTTCTGCTGGCCTTCCTCCATCTTCTGCACCTTCTCACCATGGCACAATCTGTGCAGGCAAGGCCAAGCTAGGGCAGAGTGAGCAGAGCAGGGAAATGCTTTGAGTGCAAATGAGGAAAAAGGCAATTTATATCCCAGAAAGTCAACAAGTATCCCACCAGAACACGCAGGGGAATAGCACTGAAATTATGTAAGTGGCTCACATGAAAAAAGGTAATCTGCTAAAGAGTAAAATTATACAAGCCAGTAAGCACATAGTATGAAGAGCCTTTAATATTGATTCACTCACTCAATATTTCATGGAATTCACATCTTGCTCAACAGTGGAGAAACGAGAGAGAGAATGCTCAGTTTGGTCAGGTCCTGACGTCTACAAGCTTAGACAAATAGCAGCATTGTCAGGTTTGGACTGACTTCATGTTTTAATAAAGACACTGGTTGGTTTTAGCACTGTTCTCAGACACGTTTGGTGCTAGATCTGTACACAGAGGTGATACAGGCTGGGCATTGAGAGATGCCTGTAGGAATGAGATTGCCAGCAATGGAATATCAGTAGGTAACCCCTAGGAGCTGTGTTGAAAGTCTCACTTCATAAAAATGGAAAGAGAAAAGAGATCAAAGCTGTTACAGATACCTCACTGCATTGCAGAGAAAGGAACTGACGTGGACACATGACCTTTAAAAAAATACAACAAAATTGCACTAAAATTGATTCGGAACTCACCAAACATGTTACCGATGTGGCCGTTCTTAGTCAGCGGTCGCAGTTCATTTTTTCCAAGTGCATATTGTTTGTAGTTATCCCAAGCGAATTTCATCATCTGTAAAAAGAAAAATTGAATGAAAGCACTTAACAGAACTGAAAGTTTTCTGAACTTCAGCTCTGGGAACGAATGGGAGTTTCCCATTCACTGCTAAACCCAGCAACCAATGGCCCATTAATTATAAAATTTTAATTTGCACTGAACACTTATGAATGGGGCTGCATTCAGCAGTTTGCTAAAGTCTCAAGCTCATCACTCCTGGTGCAGAACTTGGGGCTGACATGTTTCAGAAGTATCACAGTATCCAACACACCGAGAGTCTACTTTTCCCCTGGGCTGTGCAAACCAAGTGGGAATTTTAGAAAGATGCCTCCATCTCTGAATTCCTCACCTTTTTCGAGGAGTATCAGTATTTCAGAATAGTAATTAAAATGGGCTAAAAATGTAAGGCCAAAGCTGATATATTCCTAAGTATAGGGATGTTACCTTCTGAGTTTTCGCTTTTCTTTATGATAGCAATAATGAAACTTGATCCAACTGCTAAACCACCCACCATCTGCCCACCTTGCAGCAGTTACACATACTTTGGCAAAGCAGCAACCACAGAGGTACACAACGCACTTAATACTGTGGTGAGAAAAGGAAGAAATTGGTCTTTGTTTAAGGACTGCACAGAAGTTTTCTTTCTATTTATTAACAGAATACCTTCATAAAGGAGAAAGGGAGATCCATGACACTTTGATATCTTCGTATCAAAACTCAAAGTGCTTTCTTAAGAGAGTCCTACAGATGGGCTGGGTGATTTCTGAGAAACCCCTTCCAACTCAAACAATTCCTTTTGGGACGTTTGAACTGTCCTGCCTGGGCTCAGCACATTAACCTTTCCCTGAGGACTGCAAGTCAGCGGGTTTGTGCAAGTTCCAACACACACACACACTAGCACAGCTTTTTCTGTCCTCCTGCCCCTTTGGCTCCAGCTGTTAGGAAAAATTAAACCTACAAGTATCCTCTCTGCAGCTAGGAGAGACTAGGACTTGTCAGCTACTAAGAAGTGCTTTAAATAAAGCTCCCTTTTATAATCCACACAGCCTGGCTCTGAGCAGTTTGAGCCCCAGCATCGCAGTGACCTGTACATTCTCTGATTCAATCCTTGGAAAAAAGTCAGATAACAAAGGGGAAGAAGGTGGCTTCAGAGAATCAACAATATTCTCCACCGCCGCTCAACAAAGATCTTCAAAGTCTTCAAAGTACTTCACTCAACCAAGACATTTGAGAGAAAATGACAGTTTAAAACAAATCATTCCTCCACAGAGTGCCCCTGTCTAGTGTCTGCAACAGCATCTACTGCTCTATTTCAGGATCAGAATATGCAGGTTACTTTGGTACGAAATTCCTACTGTCATTTCAGTTCCTACTTTTGTCCTTCCCTCCAGCTGTGTGTTTCACAAACCCAACACTGCAAGCCTCTGGCAGTATCCTCCTTAATTAGCACACACACAAAAAGCCACATCACCAGACTTCCACCCCCTCTACTTTTTAAACCTCAAGCTTCCAAAGTAAAGTTTCACAGAGCTGGTCATATGGATGAGGATAAACATTTGCTGAACTGATTGATAACATTCAGAGTCTAACACCACCAGGAGAAGGAATGTTGGACAAACAAATAAAGTCAACTTGGGTTTTAAAAACTCAGTGTGGGATGAATTAGTCACTGGAGCACTCTGCTCTGAGGAAACAAATAATGACTGGGGGCGGGGGGGGAGAAACCCTGCACAAAATTCACTCAAACATGCCTCAAGCATATGACTCAGGGTCTTCATTTTATTTTCGCTAGATCTCTGGGGTTTTTTCCAGTGGCAGTATTATTCTAACTGGGAAGTTCTCATTCTTCATTAACGTAACAGGGCAAATCTTTGAGGAACTCTAGACTCTCTCTGACAGTACTGAGCGAATGCTTTTATGTCTCAGAGCTTGATCCTGAAACTTACTGCAGGAAAGATGGTGCTTCCATGAAGACAGCTTTCCCCACAGTGAGCGATAGGGCTCGTGCACCAGAAAGGAAACAGCTAGACAATCTATTCGGTTCATTTCTCTTCTAAATCAAGAGCTGAGGAAGGAGGACCCACCCTTCTGGCACATAGAGAGCCTGGACATGGAGAGGATGTGGAAATGACTATTTTGTTGCATAAAACTCCTAATGTTGTAGTTCTGAATCAGCCTCATTTTAAGCTGAGTATGAATTTTAAAGTTATTTCCTTCCCTCAGATTTTTAACCCCTCCATTCCAGAAGGTCAGAAGTTTCTTCTTCAAAGCATGTGACAAACCTAGGCATCTCCGCCACACTGGTGCAGATGGCTCTCTGGGATCCAGAGTTCGCTGACACCTCCATCACAGGCAAGAAAACTACCCTGGGTTTCCCTTCAACAGCCGCTTATATCCTACAAGGGAAATCTCCTCCTCTCCTTCTGCCTTCTCACACGAGGAGGGACTGCATGAGACCTGCCGACAGACACCCCGAAGTGACTCACTTCATACAGGACTCCCAAGCGCTATTCAAATAAATATGTTTATTCTTAATTTGCCTATTCAACCATTTAAGCTGCATTTGTCACGGTGTTGCAAAGAGTTCCACTACAAAATGATTTCTTGGGCTGTGCTGGCTGCAGCGTCTTAAACTCTCCTTCTCTGTTCTGTCCTGAGCTGATAATCAGGCAGACAGAGGATGGATGAGATTGGACATGCTGCCTCGTCATACTAAAGGGTTGTCAGTTTTCCTTTACGTGAACAAAATTTTGCTCGCTGCTTTTAAACCCTCTATATTTGGGAGGCAAGATGCATAATGCGGTACCCTTTCATTTTCCAAGATCACGCTTTCTTCTCTCTAACGATGGGTCCAAAAGCAGCAACTGGAAAAGTTTAAAAGCCAAAAGCATCTGCACCATTCTGCCCACTCTGGCTTTCCGCAGCTGTCTTTCAATCCAAATTTAGCAGTACAACTTCCAAACCACTAAAGAGATTCATCAAGTTTCTAAAAGTGGGGACTCCACATTTATATATCGTACAGAGGACTGAGATGGAGCTTTCAGGAGCTGCCTCTGACAGAGGTTCCAAACGCTGGGTTGAAACAGAAGGGGACGGAGCCGAGAGGTGCAAAATGGCAATTCGCATAGTGAGGTGTTTAAGTCCGCTTTCTGATGAGACGCCAAGGTTAGAACTGAATATTTTATGCCATTCCAGTCATGACAGATCACAATATGTCAGCATTAACATTATGCCATTTTAGATTTGAAAAATGGCACCAGAACCCCAAAAATTATGGAAATAGATCCATAATTTTAGATTTTGTTCTTACCAGTGTGCCGTCTGCCAACTAACAGACAATTATCTATTTGGCCATGAAATTCTAATCACCCTGGCTTTCAGCTGATTTATAGGAGAGACTTCCAAATTTATAATCAAGTTTGACACATTGCTCTTTCTTTTCTATAATCAGTAAGTCACTTTTTTTTACTTTCGAGGGTTTCAGCTACCCAGCTAGATGATTATATATTCAAATCAGCTACAAGTAACTAAACTGAATTCTGAAAACCCACATTATCACTTTCATCATTTAGGCCATTACGTTTTCTTGCACTTTGCTCCATCCAAACCCCAAAAAAGACCCCTCTCTCAAGCCCACGTGTTTTTCATACGGGCAGCAGCCTGCAGTCACGCAGGGCCAGGCGCTGAGTGCAAAGTCCTGCACCGAGCTGTTTGCTGGTTCAGGGGCTTTGTCTACAGCTTTGCAGGTTCACAGCACTGCAGTATTTAGATCGCACAAAAACATTGTGGAACAAGGCTGGGTTAAAATTGCTTTCAGTGTGTTTTTTTTTTATTTAATGTATGGAAATGTTTTTATTTGGAAGTCAGCTTTATAAATACTCTCCTTTAAAATACTGGGCCAAACACTAAGTGCTTGTGGCCCTTCAACTACTGCAGCAGGAAATCATACAAGTATTTAACGCTTTCACTGATACCCCAAACTTCTCCATCTGCTAAGCCTAAGAAGCACACAACAGCACCTACACTGCTACCACAGCTTTGCCCATTCTCTCATTTCTGTTTGCTCTCGACATGTCTTAACTCAGCAAGAATTCTTACATTTTCTGAGATCAAATATGCCAAACATCACAATAAAAATCACCACTCCAGACTCGGTAAATAAAAGCATCGACAAAGTTGATAACGCTCCCTCTCTGCACACACTACATGACATACTACAGGAGGGCACCTCTGCTCCTTGGTCCGGCAGTGCTTTTATGATGCCACCCAGGCTGTAACACGGGAGATAGTGAACCGCTGGGATTTACAATTTCTGCCCACGTGTACTACAGTCTTGATTTTCAGAGTGCTGCCACTTTACTGATTTTCAAGGAACCTGATTTTTTATGGAAAAAAAATCAGACTCCACTGGAAAGGCAGTTGGGAAGAATTGAGAACAAAAAGGCATTTAGCAAGTTCTGCGATCCAGATAAGGAAGAAACAGGGCTCAGGAGAAAAACTTGACCAAGGAAGAGTTTTCACTCTGAAGAGATGTGCAGATCTGATGTTTTTTAATACGTGTAATAACTAAGCCACTGAAAATCCCTGGGTTTGTGTGCTTGCAAAAAGCAGAGAGATGAGAGAAAAAAAGAACACCCCCCACCCCCCCCCATTGCTTGCCCTCCTTTTGTTACCAGGGAAGATTTCAAAATGCAGAGCATTCCCAAACACCTATTTGATTAGTTTTATCCATCTAGGCTGGGATAATTAGTAAAAGCTTAAAAGATGAAATCTAAATATACCAACCAATCAGCCCCCTTCAAGAACTTCCAAGGAACATTATACAAAGCCATTATCTTCACAAGATAACCACTTCTGTGGCTCTTTCTCCTCCTTTCTTCAACGTGCCTTCAAATATTTAACTATTAAGCTATCTAAGAAATTCCCGGTTTGGGTTTTCAAAAAAAAAAAAAAAAAAAAACCCAAACAAAAACAAAAAAAAGGGGGGGGG